AGACCTTTATTTTTAAATAATTCTAATGACACACAGAAAATTGGATCGGCCAGAATAGATAGGATTGGTGACCTCTCCTGCAAGGAGAAGAAGCAAGTCTTGATAAACCCCAGAGTCGACTTGAGTGACACTGTTGTCCTGGAAGCAACGTAAACTCATTGGAACCCTTTTACAAAATAATATTCTGATAAGTATCAAGGGTCTTAAAAATGTCAAAATTTTATCCTAGTAATTTTATGTCTGGGAATTGATCTTAAGGAAGCAACATAAAACGCAAGATATGCCTTAGACTAGCATTTGCGATAATAGTTGAGAGTGCTTAAAACATATCACTGAAATTGAATGAGTAAATAAATGATTGAATGATTGGTGGAAAATAGTGGAAACACTGGAAACCATAATAGGAGTATGATTAATATGCATTCACTGGGTAGTTATTATGAATCCAATAATAATGATAGTTCTGAAAATTATATAAATACATGGAAAAATTTATGGTAACTGAAAAAAAGCAGAATTGAAAAAGATACTCTTATTATAGAATGATTACAACAATGATTATGTTTAGATAAACAAAACTGAAGGAAATACATCAAATTATAATGGTGGTGGTTTTGTCCTTCTGTTCTCTATTTTTCCAATATTCTTCAATATACTTAGTTCGTTTTTATAATGGAAAAAATGTAAAAAACTTTGGGACCGTTAATTTTGGACTTATGTTTGAAGTATCTGAAACATCAAAGTGACAGTAAATAATAATTAGAAAATAGGCTTGGTATTCAACTCTGGGTTTACATATTGGAGACATTCAGTAAATGTCAACTGAATTGAAGTTCTAACCATTTTCTTCCTTTTGGGTCAAAGTCCCAGAATCCTATGGCAAGGTAGGAGAAGTTTTACCATCATTTGAACTTATATAGGCTCATTTTCATGAGGAAAAAGAAACTTCCTTTTCCAGCTCCATACCTGAAGCAGTCGAGGGGACTCTCTCCTCTGTGCAAAAGTAATTTTAATCAGCTGATCTCAAATAACATAGAAAATACTTTATTTCAAACATACATCATTTTTTTTAAAGTTATTTTTTTCTTTTGTACAAAGGGAACATTGATTGCTTTTCTTAATACTGGTATCATTTTTCTTACCTAGCAGTTCTTTTTCAAAGGTCAAGGGTCTGCTCTCACTGTTTTCAAATTTCTGATGAAATAGAATCCAGGGGCATATTTAACCTATTGAATTTTGATGGACTTTTGATAATCCCAGATATTTTCCAATTAGAGGGTTTCAGTTGATTAGTCTAGTATGCCAGCATACTAACTGTGTTCCAGAGCAGGTGTGTTTTGGTTTAAGATTGCTTCTTTTGGGGTCCAGAGTAGTAGTTAGAAGAAAGGATTGGTTTTCACTGTTACCCTCATAAACTGGAGACATGTTTAAAGCTGGGGTGGCGGTTGCATGAGGCTATGCTTTCATTGTTTCCTTGCCGTGAGCACAGGGCCCATGCCCCCAGCGCTCAGGCTAGGACCTGATGTCGTCTGGGCCAGGCATCTGTGAATTACAAGGGTGTGCGAATTCACGCTTCACACGTTCGTCGCATGAACTCGTGCTTCAGAGCACAGTCCAATTCTTTAAGAACCTTTGCAGACTGAAGGAGTGGCGGTGGGAAGAAAATGGTTAATTCCAAGGTCATTTACTAGACCATGGAGGATTTGGACTGTGAGTCAAAGTGAGCAAGTAGGCAGGAACTTTGGCGATGTGTCAGGAGGATGGCTGGAGGTCTGTCTACCTACTGAAAGGAACTCCTCACTAACTTTTCACAAAATCTAAAATCCGCATGGGAACCCGGCTCCTAAGGGCCTCTTTCATGAGTTGTATATATCTTATCACGTTGGTTTGAGGAGTTGTCCGTTTCCCAGTGGGGGATTGATTAATTCATCCAGTACCACTAGGAGTAGGACCCCCATGAAAATGGAACAAGGGGAAGGTTAGTGTCCCTATATGGCAAGGGAATATGAATGTTAGAAAAGTCCAAGGGCTGGAACACAGTACTCAGCCCCTCCCAAATCAGGGGTCACCTGGAGGGATATAAAGGCCAGAGCAATGGGGAGGGATGTCAAAACCAAATCAACCAGTATCTGCCAAGCACTTCCTACATGGACATCAATGGAATAAGTGTCCTTAGAGACCAGAAGAAAGAAAAATAACAACATGGCCTTTTCACTCAAGGGAATTGTGATTACAAAGAGTGTCTGGGAAATAATCAAAGAACTGTAGCGTTTATGGGATGTTTACTGTGTGTTAGATACTCTTCTATGTGCTATGTATGTGTCATCTGATTAGTGCGCTCATCAACCCCATGAGATAGTTACGATGACTATACTCATTTTACAGATCTGGAAACTGAGACACAAGAGAATCTAATGTCGTTGAGACTTCAGACTCAAGCTTTCTGACTTCAGAATCCTTGCTTTTGAGCATTATTCTCTGCTGCCTCCCAGACAAATTTTTTGTATTTCAGTGCCTCTGGGAAAAGGTGAAAGAAAAATGTAAGAGTATGCTTGACAGAGCACAGTTTGTCTGTGTTGCTAGATTTCTTCTACTCATTACCTGAACTCTTGTACAATATGAAGTATACGAAGAATCTTCTTGCTCGTTCTAAGATATTTGACCTAGGAGAGCTTGGAGGACCCTTGTCACCCCAAACCTAAGTCTTTAATCTGATCCTAAATATTCTTGGCTTGGGGCTAATTGGACCTAAGGGATTTTTTTGTTGTTGTTGTTCTAAAGTCTTAGCCAAGAAATATTTTCTTTTTGGACTCGCTACCTGAACTGTGGGCAGCTGAGCAGAGTTTCTTGGTGGCCTTTGATCTCATTAGAGAGTTCTGGATTGGTGGCCCAGATCCTTGAATGAAGTCTGATATTGAAATAACACCAAGCTGAAGTCATAAGAGGTTGCAGTGTAATGTACACAGTCAGAATAACCAAGATTTAGGAAAAATAAAGTAAGTTTCAGTTGGCTTCATTTGCTCACTGGTGACTTTCGTTTCACTTGGGAGTGATTCCTAATCCACTTCTTCACATGGCAGGGACACAGCAAAACATAAAATCTCAAACTCCAATTTAGGGATTTTATTTTATTTATTCATTTATTTTAAGATTGGCCCTGAGCTAACGTCTGTTGCCAATCTTTTTTTTCCCTTCTTCTTCTTTTTCTTCTTCTTCTTCTCCTTCTCCCCAAAGCCCCAGTACATAGCTGTATATTCTAGTTGTAGGTCCGTCTAGTTCTGCTATGTGGGACGCCGCCTCAGCATGGCCTGATGAGCAGTGCTAGGTCCGCGCCCAGGATCCCATCTAGCGAACCCCTGGGCCGCCGAAGCAGAGCATACAGACTTAAGCACTCAGCCACGGAGCCAGCCACCCGATTTAGGGATTTCAGAAGCCGTCAGAGCTTGATGAACAGCAGCACTCTTTATCACTCCAAGAAAACGCAGTGACAAATGCTGCTAACGAATGTGAATTTCTCAAAGTTCAAGTACTGCTCTGATGTCATCTTCCTACACTATTTTATCTGCCATGAATTTTTGCTTCATCACATTTGACCTTGTGTGAGGGAGGCCTGACCCAGAGACCTTGTCTTTCCTCCAAGTCCTAGTGTTTTCTTAAGGGTTTCTTAAGGGCCGTCAGCAAATGCGGTAACTACTTCATCTGGTACACAAACTCAGTATTTCAGCTCATTCACAGATTCATTTTGCAAGTGTTTATTGGAAGCTTCCTGTGGACTAGGGTGAGCTTCAGGCTCTCCTCAAATTCCATACCCTAGGTGGCTCGTTTGTTCACCCTAGTCCTGGCCCTATGATACCCAAGCTCTGTGCAGGACACTGGGGCACAGAGCCAATAAAGACATGGCCAATACCCCCGATACTGACGGTCCGATGGGAGACACATAAATGAACCAGTGGATGCTCTTGTTATTGTCTCAAACTGTAGATGAAGCCACACTACACATTTCTCCATTCTCTGTAGCTGACTACATAATGAACTCCAAACAGAAAAAAAGAGGAAATTTGTATGTATGATTTCCTTTAAAATACCTTACACATTTTGCTGAAGAAAATATTCACATACTCCTCTATCAAACTCTCAGAAGTAATGTAGGGAAGAATATTTCTAATGCTGTTATTTACCAACTGGGTGGAAGAGTGAAACTCTCTTTTTTGTCTTAATGATAAGAATAATAATAGTAGGGTCAGCCCCAGGGGCCTCGTGGTTAAGGTTGGTGCACTCCGCTTCAGCAGCCCAGGTTCAGATACCGGGTGTGCACTTAACACTGCTCTTCTGTCAGTGGCCATGCTGTGTTGGCAGATCACGTACAAAAAGAGGAAGATTGGCAACACATGTTAGCTTAGGGTGACTCTTCCTCAGCAAAAAAAAAAAAAAGAAGAAGAAGAAGAAATGCAGATGCAAAAGTCTGTGGACTGTAAGTGGCCTTACCATCTTACTGCTTTGGAAGTGCCTTCTTAAAATTAACACTGTAGTCAAATAGTAATTTTGGAAAGAGAGAGTTAATTTCCCTTTTGGTTTCTAACTTAGGTTTTTGGGAATCACACTGCAAAATTCCTGTGTGACAATACCAAGGTGGGAAGACAGGAGGATGCTGAATTCCTCTGTTAATGACTTTAGTTCTGCAACTCAACATCTGAGCAAGCACCATGCTTCCTTTTTCTGTCTCTTCTTGGTAAAGTCTGATTTGGATGATGGGAGAGCCATTCAGACTGTCTACTTGTTTGCCTCTGTCCAGCCTGTGGTGACCACTGGTGCACAGATCTAGGATTTAGAGAGGGCCATTTGGTCAAAGATGTTGATTTTATCAGTGCCATACTGACCTTCTGTCGCGTTCTATGCATTCTTTTATTTTAAGTCAATGGACTTTTTAAGATGTAAATAATTTAGAAACAAGTTTCTATTACATTTTAAAATATTCTTTCTTAATTTCTTCTTAATTACAGAGCAAAGAGATTGCATTCCAACTTCATGAGGATTTAATGAAGGTTCTTAATGAGCTTTATACGGTAAGCACATAGTCTTCTTCTTTTGCAAGAATCTTTGGTTTAGAATTCTGGTTTGCAGGAACACTATTCACATTAGAACTCATTCCAAGCGAAGGTGTTGACCGATGCTTGTCTGGTTGAAACGTGGAACCAAGTGGATAGATATACACCGCTCTATTCCTTTGCCACTCCCTCCCGATTTGGAGAGACTTGTATTCAAGTGAATATGCACGTGTATGGAGCTAGCGCACTTTAAGTAGCTAGAGTATGAGTGTCCCAATAAGACATGTTTTTAACTGGTTACATTGTACATGATCTGTACATATATTGAATTCAGAATATTTTGTTTTAAATTGTTACCGTTTGTGAATTAGCCATTCTGAGATTTGAGCAATTTATAGTTGCTTTTTTTTAGTACTTTAATTTTTTTCTTTCCATGTCAGTTAAAGTGTTTGGTTAATAACTTAATATATTAAAATTATTTTGGGGGGTATTTAAGATTTTATTTTTTCCCTTTTCTCCCAAAGCCCCCCGGTACATAGTTGTGTATTTTTAGCTGTGGGTCCTTCTAGTTGTGGCATGTGGGACACCGCCTCAGCGTGGCCTGATGAGCGGTGCTATGTCTATGCCCAGGATTCAAACTGGCGAAATCCTGGGCCGCCACAGCGGAGTGTGTGAACTTAACCCCTCAGCCACGGGGCTGGCCCCAATAATTTGCTTTTCTGAATTTAAATTTTATGTAGGTTACTGCATATAATCATAAAATATTAAATAATTTAAAACTATCCTATTAAAAAGCAAAACAAAACCAATGAGGTTGCAAGTTGGAGTTAGTCGTATGCCTCTCTAAATTTTTTTTTGCACTTAATGATCATATTAAATACAAATTCCTTTTGGAGAAATTTGATGAGTTTTTATGTTACGAGAGAGAATACGTAGTGAGAAATGAGTAATATTAATTTGTTCTAACTATAGATATTTGCATTTTTATTGTACAAGATTATTTGAATTTTTCTTTACTGGCAAATTAAACCTGAAACTTATTATTAAAATACATTTCTTGATTTATAAATTCCCTTTGTTTCTCCAAAGCTGTGTGTGTAAATGCATTTTTGTGAATTAAAATATTTTAAATTCTCCACTGATACTTAGTAATTAAAAGAACCTGTAGTTTTAAACTTTTGTAAAATGAGTGATATTCTTCTAAAATTCACTTTCTAGTTTTTTTGTACCTGCATGATAAATTTGTATTTTGATAGAGCGTGTTGCTACACTTGTACTTACGAATTGAATGGACAGTTTCTCTGGGTTAGTTCCTCCTTCGGAAACGTTTGACTTTATGCCAAAGCCTCATGTCCTAAGGTCACAGCTGTATAAAAAACACCTAACAAAGGTGAGTTTTTGATGATAAAGGCCATTTATTAGCCCGTGCTTTGTGCAGTTTGTTCATTTCTGATAACCTAAGGTATCAACCATCTCTAGAAATCCTCGATTTAGAATTTAAAAGTTAAATGAGGGACTGGCCCGGTGGCGCAGTGGTTAAGTGCGCACATTCTGCTTCTCGGTGGCCCGAGGTTCGCTGGTTCAGATCCCAGGTGCAGACATGGCACTGCTTGGGAAAAGCCATGCTGTGGTAGGCGTCCCATATATAAAGTAGAGGAAGATGGGCAAGGATGTTAGCTCAGGGCCAGTCTTCCTCGGCAAAAAGAGGAGGAATGGCAGCAGTTAGCTCAGGGCTAATCTTCCTCAAAAAAAAAAAAAAGATAAAAGTTAAATGAGCCTTGTGCCACTGAGCCTTCCAAAGAAGAAGTTCTGTGCCCTCTTCCACTGAACTATGTTAAGATGAGGGCTTCACAGCACTTTCCTTGTGGTGCCGTTTGCTTGGGCATTGTTTTACTTAAAAAATATAAATCAACCTCTAATACTGTAAAAAATAAATCTGCTGGTTGTCACGACATCATGGACGACAGCCTGTTGGTTATGGTCTGAAACCAGTAGTACTCATCAAACCAACAGTTGCAAAGGTAAACCTGATCATTGAATACAAGAAAAGTCAGCAGAATGTCCTGAAAATTTTCTCTCAGTGAGGGGTGTGTATAGTGAAATTTCTCTGGATTCAGCCTAAGCAGTGGTCTTAGACATTTAGCAGATTCCACAGTTGAATCAAGTAAGCTGACACGCCCTCAAAACTCTCATCAGTATCAGTCTGAAAGCCTGAGGGAGCCGAGTTCTGGAAAAGGCCCACAGAGTTTGAATGACCCTGTCAAAGTCATTTAACTTCTCAGACTCAGTGGAAGAATTAAGTGATGGAGGAGACAAGCAACGAGGTTGTAATTAGGTCATCTGGAGGTCACTTTGAGCTCTTGCGAAAAAATTTACTTTAACCAGAGAGCGTGTTCGGCCCGTGTTAGAGGTCTTGACCATGGGGAAGGACCTTTAGATCGCGCACGCACACGCACACGCACACACACACACACACTTTGCTCTAAAAGAAGGTGTTTAGGCTCTCTTGCACTTTGAATTCAGATACACAAATTCTGTCTTGTTCAAATGAAATCTATCCATTACGCATATTCCATTTACGTCTGGAAAGAGAAAAAAGATGAGGAGCGTTTGTACAATGACCAGCAGTTGGGGGCTGTGGTTTAGGTTCCTATTCACCCACTGCCTGGTCATGAACAAGGAGCCTTCTGAGTTGCGTCACACGCAGAATTTTGTACAACTTGTGATGTAATAATGATTGCTACAGTAACGGGTTTAAAATATGTGGGAAATTGAGGAATTGAGGGAATTACGTTTTCAGACAAACATTCACCGCTCCCTTCCTCTGAGCCCTTGAGACTCTTTGGGACCTGAAGGTGAACATTTTGAGAAGTATGTTAATTTCTGGCACCCATGGAGTGCTTTATATTAAATTACAGTCAACCTCAGTGGTGGCCGGCAGCCTTATGTGTGCACTTCCCTAACCCAAAATATTCCTCCCACAGGCCTCTTGATTATTCCAAAAGTTCTATCAGAAGGCTTTGTCCTAAACAAAATACAGCTGCCCAGGAAGGAAAATAGAAAGAGATCCTTATTGGGGCCGGCCCCGTGGCACGGCAGTTAAGTTTGCACGTTCTGCTTCGGTGGCCCAGGGTTCCCTGGTTCAGATCCCGGGTGTGGACACGGCACTGCTTGGCAAGCCATGCTGTGGGAGGCGTCCCACATATAAAGTAGAGGAAGATGGGCATGGACGTTAGTTCAGGGCCAGTCTTCCTCAGCAAAAGAGGAGGATTGGCAGATGTTAGCTCAGGGCTAATCTTCCTCAAAAAAAAAAAAAAGGGGGGGGGCTGGCCCCGTGGCTGAGTGGTTAAGTTCGTGCGCTCCACTGCAGGCGGCCCAGTGTTTCGTTGGTTTGAATCCTGGGCGCGGACATGGCACTGCTCATCAAACCATGCTGAGGCAGCGTCCCACATACCACAACTAGAAGGACCCACAACGAAGAATATACAACTATGTACCAGAGGGGATTTGGGGAGAAAAAAGGAAAAAATAAAATCAAAAAAAAAGAAGAAGAAGAAAAAGAGATCCTTATGATCATTCTTACCTGGAGCGAACTGAGTTTTATCACATCCTTTGAGTGCAGGTGTGTGCATCGGGCCTGAAGGCCTGGACCTCTGAGCCGGGCACAGAGGAAGGGGACATCACAGTGTCTTCTGGAAGGGCAGGAAAGGCTTTGAAGACATGTGTCTCCTTTTCTATATTTTTGCCTCAGTCTTGCCTTTATTTGCAGAAATGAGACTTCAAAATGGTTTTGAGCCTCCATTCAGATTCTTAGACCATCACAAGGGCCAGCCAAAGCAGTTAGGATTAGTGTGGCCTTGAATAATGGAGGGATGCAGAAGAATGGCATAAACAAAATAAAGTATATAGTCTGTCTCCCGTTAAAGAAGTCCAGAGTTTGGCAGCCCAGGGCTGGTATGGAGTGTACATAAAGCCATCCAAGAGACAGGCTCCTCCTAATCCACTGTTCAGAGGAATGTAATTGTAACTTTTGTCCTTATAGTTCAAGATAGTTGCTAGAGCTCCAGCCATTGTATCTGCATTCCTGAAATGGAGAAAGGAGACTCCAGCAGAATGGAAAAAAGGAAGAAGGGCCTGCCCCCTGTTTCTTAAGGAGACCTAATGAGAGCCCCATGTAACACTTTCACACACTTCTCATTAGCCAGAACTTAGAACATGGTTCCATAAGGAAGTCTTTTAGCTGGCCAGCTCATTGCTCACCAGTTAAAAATTGAGGATTCTTTTAATTTGAGAGAGAAGGGGAGATATCTGTAGATAACTAGCCATGCCCACCAGAGTAGCTAACGTTTACTGCATGCTTATTATGTATGTGTTCTTTATTGCGCTAAGCACATAGCTTGCACTGTCTCACGTAATCCTCACGGCATCTCTGAGGTCATTACCATCATCATCCCCATCTTACAGATGAGAAAACGAAGGCTCAGAGACGCTTGCCAAGTGAGTAGTAGAGTTAGGGTCCCAAGTCCAGGTCTGGCTCCAGAACCTGTGCCCTTTACTGTCATTTTATCTCTATTGCCGTACTTTTTGGGAACCATACTCTATCGAAGATCTCTAAATGTTAATGTCTCCCCAACAACACAAAGTGCGTAAGCAGTTTATGACCTGCTCATCTGTGTTTTTTAGAATCAATGGCATTAATGTTGTTTGAATAAAAACATAGGTGAAAAATTGAACACGTGGCTCAATGACAGTCTGTACTTAGAAATGTCAGTTTAAATGATCTCCCAGATGGAAGTCATTGGGCCGAAGAGTGAAGGAGTGAACCCAGACCCTCAGACTCCCTTTCAAAGAGTCTAGTCCACAAGTAACTTCCTTCTGAGTCTGGTATTTGAAAGAGACCTAAAGGATGGCATCAGCAAGTGTGGGAGTGGGGTTAAGAAAGCAGGGAGAGTGCGGTGCTGTGAGGAGACAGAAAGGCCTGGCCTGGTAGTCGGCAAGCTTGAATTTGAGTCCCAGCT